CCGCACCCCCACCCCCCACACACACACGACCACATGCACTCGTGCCTTGAAAAACAGAACCAGCAGGTGTGGGTGGCAGGCGAACCGGCGTTTTTGAAGATCTGGATCAAGGCGCCCGCCTTTGGGCAGCTGGACGACGCATTGGATGCTGAGGAGGGGTTCTCCCCAGACCTGTTTGCGGCGGCCGTCGAGGCATACCTGCTGCGCTGCGGCGTGGAGACGGAGGGCTTCAAACGTGAGGTTCTGGGGGGCGTTTGGGGCGCATGGGCCTGGCAAACAGCGGGTTTGCCCTTTTGAAAGTGCTCGTTGGCGGCCGTCCGGCACGCACAGTCTTCGATTGGGGTGGGGCGTCCTCATGCAGTGTTCCCCCCCCCACACACACACACACGCATCCATATTCACACACACACACATACACATACACACACACACACACACCCACCCACACACACACACACACACACATACGCACGCACACACACACATGCACACACGCACACACACACACACACACCACAGCCAAAACGAATCCCACATTCTTTTTCACAGGGTACCCATCCTATTCAGAGCCGGGGATGATCGCCCTCCAGTGGACCCTCCGCCGCAAAGCCCCGCTGACGCCCGACGAGGCGGCGGCCCCCGAGCCGGCGCCCTTCCAATTGGACGTCTGCCCCGGCGGCGAGCCGACGGGCTGCTACTGAATGTTAAAAAATTTTGAAATTCCGTGCGGTTTTCCCCTGTACTGTGTGGCACCCGTGGGTGTGTGCTGCCAAACGCTGGGCTGCAAACACACCGGCCCCGGCGCCGCGCGGCTGCCGCATGTGTGGCGGGAGCCGCAGGGCCCTGGTTGCCTCAAAGCTCTGCGGCGCCGCGCGCCCTGCCATTGCCGCGCGGCTCCGCTCAGGCGAGGCCCCAAGGCCATCGCAGCCGGACGCGCGGCCCGAGGCCGGCCGGGGGCGGAGCGGGCTCGCCGGCTGCTGCTGAGCTGCGGGGTGCGCTGGCCCGACGACCCTTCTCCGGGCCTGCGGCGCCGGCGCTCTCGCCCCCGCACCCCAAGCGTCCATCTCGCGGTCACTGGGGCTGCGTCCATCATTTGGGGGCCGGGCGCGCGCACGCCGCAATTGTCCTTTTTGTGCGCGGGGCGTTCACTCCGCTGCCCGGCTCGGCCCACTCGGTCGCAAACCCGAGGCTGCTGTGCCGGGGTTCGGTGCCTGCGGCGCGCCTGACATTTTGGGTCGTGGCCGCAGCCGTGGTATCCAGGCGTCTCGCACGGCCGCTTTCGCAGCCGGCGGCCCGCTCGCCCGGACTAGACGGGCAGTCCAGGTGCGTTTGTCCGGATGGTGGGGGTGCACACGCTTGGACTGTCGATCTGGTTGCCCATACCAGCAAATGTATTGCCTTCTCTTGGCAACTGTAATGTGGGGCCTAAAAGTTTGTGTCGACCGTGCCACCGCGTGCACGGTGCTGTGAGCGACGCAGGGTGGCGACAGCCCGGCAGGCGGCCAGCCAACCAGAGTTCGAAGCAAGCGTCCGTCATCGCGACGACACGAGGCACCGCGTCTAAAACCTCAACTATAATTCGTAACTTTTGTTTGAGCATCACCCTCTGTCACACGAAGTCTTACATTCGAGCGTGCGGAGCTGCCTGAGCTGCCGCAGACACAACTTGGAGACCGTGCAGGCGTGGCCCTCGAAAGTGGTCGCGAGTACATTATTACTCCTTGGTAAAACCTTTAGTGGCGATCCGCGTACGTGGAGCTTCAGGACCCAGCAGCTGAGCCAGTAGGCCTGCACACGGGGGGGCTCCACGAGTGGGGCCCCAGGCGGAAATGGGAATCCCCACGGAACAGACAAAGGTGGCCTTAAAGGTTGCCGTGCGCTTCAGGCCGCTATGGTGAGCACTGCGAGGGCTTGCGGGGAAGGTGTCGAAGAAGGTTTTTCCTCTTATGGGCCCCGGTGGAGGGTGAGGATCAGCAACAAGAGTATGTAGAGTTCATATCAGTCGCGCCTGCATGCCGATGGCTTCCCGTGCCGTGGCCACACCCCTTGCCCCCTGCGCCGCTCGCCGCTCGCTGCTCGGCCCTGCCGTCTGGCCCCCGCCCCCAAACCCCCGCCCGCCCCGCCGCCCACACAAAATCCGCAGCGATGCGGAGCGCGCGCAGGGCGCGATCGAGGTCTTCCGGGCCGACCCAGGCTGCCCGCGCCGCGTGGTCGTGGACGACGGGGCCCCTAAGGAGCGCGGCCCCGCGGCGGGCGCAACGCGCGAGGAGTTTGTGTACGAC